CTATTTGTACACATGACAGGGTTCAAAATTAACGCAAGAAAGAGCCCTAGACAACATAATAGACAGCTGAATGAAGACTGCTACTCAATGTGTAGCTGTGGTCAAAAAGCAAGCATGATGTTGGGATGCCTAAGAAGTTGTATGGTGAATAATGTAAAAGAATACTGCCATAGCTTTATGTAAATCAATGGTGCAACGTCAGCTGAAAAACTTTGTGCAATATTGGTCTTCACTAGAAGGTTATTGCAGAATTTGAGTGTGTTCAGAGAATGATGACAAAAATAAGGGGAATGGAATTTTTTTTGCATTAATAAAGATTGAAAAGTTTGATATTGTTTACCTTAAGAAGGAGGTAAGCAGAAAGGAGTTTGATGGCAGTATATATAAAATAATACATGGTACAGAGAAGGTAGACCAAACACTTCTGTTTTTCTTGTCTTGTAATAAGAAGAAGGGAGACATTCAGTAAAACAAAGCTGGAAAAGTTTAAATTGGTAGAAAAAAACTTTTTTTATTCACAGTGTATACTTTAATGGTACAACCCATTGCAATAGGAAGATGTTGAGGGCAAGAGCTTAAGATTCAAAGAGGGTTTAAACATTTCTGTGGGTATCAAGAGTACCCAGAATTATCATGATAAACATTTTGGAAGGGTATTAAACTAGATGCTTTGGGCTTTAACTGTTAGAGCTCAGGATAAAACCTAATTTGTGCATATGTGTGTGTGGGGGGGGAGGTTGATTATCCCATAATCCGCCAGTGTAGATTATGTCTTTTTCTGAAACATCTGATAATGTCCAGTGTCAGAGGCAGGATCCTGGACCAGATCCATCATGGCAGTTCCAGTGGTTTAATAAAGGTCTTATTTTCTACATAAAACCTAAATTTGTGGGCTAAATTTTACTTGTCAGCATCCCTTTGAGTAGGGCTAAGGAGGGGAAAGTACAGCTTGCCAACCTTTATGAAAAAATCCTGAAGAATTAAATTGTTAGGGCTGTACAGAAATACTCTAAAAACATGGTAGTATTTAATAGTATTTTGCTGGATTGGTTGAACCGCCCTTTAGACTTTCATAGCAAGGATATAATTTGGTATTATCTAGGAGGACTAAAAGCCCTTTTAGACAGGTTATCATTTTCTATTACATTCTATAAAGCACCTTCTTAGGGAAAACCCAGGCATAGGAGGACTTACACATGGAAAGGAAGTATCTTTCATTCCTAGCATTTTGCCATTCCTTTCACTTCTAAGGCTTCCCATTTCCCCCAGGTTGTGTCAGCAGATTGAGACTTGATTAGAACTGGTCCATGGCAGTTGAGGTCTGAGTCTAGCCTCTACCATCAGAGGCCGTGTCCAGACGAGCATGGCTGTGTGGTATGGAGCGTCACAGACATGTCTGCGGCGTCACATACTGCACATTCAGTTGTTGTCTGCACTGCAAGGGAGCAGCGTGGATATCCAGGGGTCAAAAAAAACCTGCAGGGAAAAAAAAGCGGAGCAGTGCACAGGGGGGCAGCACGCACCACTCAAAAGCGGAGCCAGGCTGGCCGGAGCCATGCTGCAGCTGCTGGCCAGGCTCTGCATGGAAGAATCACTGCTGCTGCAGGCCTGGAAGGGCCCCAGGACCCCAGGTAAGGCTGCTGGGGCCAGTCCAGTGCTGGCCCCAGTCTCCCTTATGCCACCCGGGGTAACTTGCCACATGCCAGAGCACATGTAACACAGGTTTTCCCTGGGGACAGCTAGTGACGGCACAAGGTGCACCGCTGCTAGCTGTCCCCAGGGAACCAAACGTCCGTACCACATGTGGCTGTGGCCGTAAAGGCTGCTTCTGCTATTTTCTACATAACTTTCCTAGTTCCTGTACTTATGCTATATCATACTGGTTAACCAACTTCCAGAAGGGCTGGATTAAATGTGTCTACGTGTTCATTAATGTGCTTTTGGTCTTTGCATTAAATTTAGTACCTCTAAAGTGAGGTACTCAATAAATGCGCATTAGGCTGCCCTAATGCACAGTAGTGAAAGCACATGCTTTTTAGTGACACTTAATGTGCAGTCACTTATTTTTACTGCACATTAGCATATTAGCATGGTTTTTGATGTGACACTTTAATGCTCAGTAAAATAGGCTATTGCATATTAAGGTGCACATTTAGACACGCCCATTGTTGACCAGTCTGGGGCTTCATAGAGTAAAGCGTGCATTTCTAGTAAGCTCTGTGTACTAATTCCCACTCCCCTCCTCTCTTTCCTCCATTAATGAGAACTGGAAATTTTGGGCTCCTAAAATGGGCCAGAGATGTGAATGTTTGGCTACTGAGAAGATACTAGAAGAGAGGAGAAGGAAACAGTGGTTTAATGGTTACTGTTCAGAGCTGGGAATCAGCTGTGCTGGGTTTTTCTTCTGGTCTCCTGCTTAACCTGATGTCATCTGAGCACCACAGTATCTCCATCTGTAAATAGGGAATAATAATACTTCCCTAGCTCACAGAGCAGCAATAAGCTCAGAGACTGTTAATCTTTGGCTGGAAGGTGCTGTGGAAGGGCTGAGTGTTATTAGTAGCAAGTAGGAATGAGCGTGCTTTGGAAAGGCAGCTGCTCTCCTTGCCCTGAAACACTTACATTTTCCATGTTAGATTCGATTTTCAACTCTTTGGTGGCACACAGGACATTTGTTGCATTCACGTGGATTTTGCTTAATCCCCTCCCCTGTTCCCTATTTTAATGCATTTGTTTGCTGAGTGTGTTGGAATCCAGAGACAGACGTGGCCTGTCAGAGTGAAGATGTTTGCTACCCATGCCCTTGAGCTTGGTTGCAGCTTTGCCTTCGATTGCAAAATGTCTGATGACCAGTTGGATTTTTCAGTCCCTCAGGGTTCCAGAAACAATGCTGATGTCCTTTTGTATCGGTGCAGGGGTGCAAACCAAGCCAAAACCACACAGACATGACTATAGAGGTGCCCTAGTGACTTCCCACGGAAGGCTGTAACACTTAAATCTTTCAAGCTGAAATGTCTGTTTCCAAATTTAACATACACTTCATGAACCAACTGGATAAGCAAGAAGAGTGGGAAGGAAAGAGGCACCCGAAATTTCAGGATGATCCCTCTCCCCCCCTTTTTTTTAGTTCATATAACTCAGAGGTGAACCTGTATCATAATCAGGGGAGCCTGGTGGAAGGGGTTACAAATAGGTGAAGGGTTGCAGAACTCAGTTTTGGAAAGAAAGACTAACTGAATAGCTCAGTCTCTTCTTTGGAATCAAGGTTTCCACTCAGTGCCCCAGCTTCCTGTTCTGGGAAAGTTTCCTTTGAAAAATGCCAGAGCTTTGGTGTTCTGCATGGCTTGTACTCAGACTTCCTCTCAATAAGAGAGGGAGCTTTTGCTATAGTTGCTGCCCATGTTCTGTGCTCTGTTGGCCGAGTAATGCAGCTAGCTAGTGGCCCTTCAGAATATTTGAAGAATCCCTTTAAGATCCTATGACCTTCACTTTGGCTAAGGGACCCTGAATTCTTTTGTTGGCTTTGGATTCTTTGGCATAGCCAGAGAACTGACACACTGCCGGAGAAGAGGTCTTCCCTCAAAACTGGACGATAGCACACCCCACCAGATAATGATGTTTGTTTAGTTTGTACTAAACAATTTGTACAACTGTTTGTACTATGATAGTGTCTCTGATGGGCTAGGCTCTGTACCAGCACAGAGCAGTCTCTGCCCTGAAGACCTTACAGTCTGAGTGCAGGATGAGAGAAAGCAGATAGCAACAGATGGGGAAGCAAAATGTCCCAGTCAGATAAGGGAATGGGGTACAGGTGTGAAATCAAATGCTAAATAGTAAATATCACACCTGGTACTGAATTACTTCCCAAACAAAATGATATGGAGAAAGGGACCCAACCTAGAGCGAGGGGACTCTTGGGAAGTGGAAATCTTGGCATATTGAGCCCGTGGCTTACTGGATGTTTCACTGAAAGGGGTAACTGTAGGATTAATCTGGTTGAACACCTACATAGGTAGGAATAGGGGATTGGGGGATCCTGAAGGGGAGAGAATTCTTCCCTAGGTGCGTTTTAACATCCAGGTTGTGCTTTCTTGTACCGTGCTGTGCTGTGCTGTGCTTGACTAACAAAACTAGCTGCCTTTCTCTGCTCATAATCCTGTGACAGCCTTCAGAACTAGACTGCTGTCTGCTCCTTCGTCTGTATGCCACATTGCATCAAGCGTCTTTGTAAATCTCCATTTTCTTCTGGGGGCGCATGCCCCAGGCTGCCCTAGAGCTAGCCTTTGGGTGAGAGAACAGGGTGGGGGAGGGAAACACTAGCTTGAGAATTTTTTTCTCTCCATGGGTTAGTCTGCAACTCTCACTGATGCCGAATTTTCTTCCTCACCTGAGCAGTCTTATTTAAATCAAAGTGAAGGTTGTAGAGTCTTGACTTAAAAGTGGGAATAGTTACTCAGTTGCAAATTCAGAGACAGAACCCTTAGATTTTATTAAAATTCTCAGCATTAGCCTACCTCTGAGATCATTTCTCAGCACCCTGCACCTGAATTGTCTGTTTTCTGTCTCTTTGTACAACATGGTTCCACAAGCAATTCAGTGTTGTGTGAATTATGCCAGAAATATACATGTATTTTTAAAACTATTTTCTATGTCGGGGAAGGAGTTTAATATGTATAACTCCCTCTTCCAGAAAAGCTGTGGGAATATTTTCCTATTATCCTTATCTCTCTTTCTTATTTCCTATTTTCTTTTTATTCTCCAGCAAAATAATGTCCAACCTTCCTTCCTTGCACCCCAACATAGGAAACTGAAAAGAGGTCAGTGGTTCAGCAAGGTAGAAATGAATCCTTAGCATAAGAGCTTAATAGAAGAACTACTTCCTTTACTCTTTAAGATATGATTGAGGTTAAAAGTCTGGCAGCCTGTTCCTTGTCCTCTCCCCCACTTCTGCTATGTATGCTTGCAAGAGACACACAGAGTCTCTTTGTTTTGTTTCTCAGAAGTTGACCTGCCTCTCAAGAAGGATGGGTTCACATCAGAGGGAACCACGCTGGAGGCCCTGCTGCGTGGAGAAGGGATTGAGAAAAAAATGGATACTAAAGAAGAAGACACTATACAGGAAATCCAGGTAAAAGAGAGCAGCTCTGTTGGCTAGATTGTATGTCTCTATACACTGACCGCAGGATTGGCTTTATGATAATTTTTTTATTTTCAGTATCCAAATGGTGTCCTATGACGTTTGTGTCTTTGTGTTGAAATGTTGCATTAATGCATAGTAATGTCACACCATTGTGCCACAAAACGTCACCAGACTACAGAGTTACTCTCTGATGCTCAAAGTAAATTCAGGATTTGGCATAACTGTTCTGCAAAACTGTCACAGTAATTCAGGTTGGGCTGCCACATTCTGGATTGTTTACAACCAAGACACTGCAGCAAAGTGAGATTATCAGATGCCGATTAGCAGAGAGAGGTCCAAACTATGAACTGGATCTGAGTAGCCTCAAACTTTGAGTTCAGATTTGGCTTTGAAATTGGGTCGTAGCTGCTCACTAGAAGCAGAGGTGTGTCATTGGCTCATCTCTTTTCCTTGTCTAAGCAGAGAGAATTGTAGAAGTTATGCAAACAACATAAATGGTTTTTAAAATTCTTTTAGTTTTAATAGTCTTTTGTATTACCAATAAAAGGCAGTCTTTCTCTTTGGCCTCATATTATCCCTTGGAATATTAATAGTAATTATTTCATTTCGATCATTTGCCAGTATTGAAGTTCGAATATAGCTGCAGCCTTTGGCAAAGTCAGGGTTCTGCCAATGTATGGAGCAATTAACAGAACTGCGTTCAATTCTCATAACATAAAAACATAGTACTTGGAGGGGCCTCCTGGCCACTGAGTCCAATTCCCTGCTTTTGTGTAAAGTCATTTGTCTAGACTAAAGAGTCCATGAGATCATGCACTACAGCCCTTCTCACACACCAGGGCAACACAACATCTTGCAAGAAAAAAACCCATCCATGGAGGAGGAGAAGAAATTTCAAAGACCTGACAACTTGCCTCAAGTAAACAGCAGAGGAGGCAAGGACACTGACAATGACTTGGCTAATGCAGCGGTAGGGAAAAACTTAAACCCCAGGCAGATTTGCTCAGGTTTGCAAAGCTTTCAGGGAACTGGGGATAGATTTTGAATGAGTCCAAGTCATTGCTTGGCATAGTCTATACTAGTTTATAGTTTTTAGTATAAACCAGGCACAACCTGTACAACTTGGTGATACTTGCTGAGCTTCACATTTTTTCAGGTCATTCCTGAAACTCACAACCCAAGTGTGTAACCCACCAGATAGCTAAACTGAAAGTCATGACAGTCACATTGACATAATTCTGGGTCCAGTCCTGCAGGCCCCATTGAAATTTCAGGTATGTAAGGGCTGCAGAATTATGTTCCTAGCTCCTAGTAATGGAGATAGGGAAACCCTGGCAAAGAGGAAATGTCTCACATACACATAGAAAGAACAAGTTCTATGTGAAAAGCTTCTTTTGTTTCCTCCTTCACTAGTAGGTCTGGTTCTAATAAACGGAAAGTCCTAAAGTCTTTGTTTATAGCAGCTTCCAAGGTCACAAGAAGCAATCATGCAGCATCTCTCTGAGATCGACAAGTGCCTTTGGAAGTTGTGCAGTCTGAGCTCCCAGATTACCCCCGGCATCAGCCTGAGGAAAGAGACTTCAGAGACAGTGGAACTGACAGCAGTCTTGGCATCACTGCATTAAAAAGGGGGGGAGGGGTATGCCTGTTTGCAAGGAGTCTTCGGCTGTACCCTCTGAGCTGTGACCTGTCTCATGGAAGCTGGCTTCATCACTGAGTGGATGTGAGAGGCTTGGCTTGCTGTTGTTTTCTTTGCAAATGCAGATTGGTTGGATTTAGTCCGTACAGCGTTTACTAAATGCTGCTGATTGAGCAGGTATTGCAGGACCTGATGGAAGGGGTGGCTGGACTGGCTTAGGACAAGACCATAATTAATCTTTTGTGCCTATACAGCCAGGTAAGGGGTGTAAATCTCCATTTTACATGGGCTCCAGGTCTTGCTGGTCACAGCTCAGAAGGATTCAAGAGGAAGCAACCCCCTGAGCTAGTACTGTACTTCCGTTCCCATGAAGGGAAGTAGGGAGTGAGTGGGTTGGGATAGGCAGATTCATAATTCCCTCCTTGATCCCAGCCATTTACTGCCCCTTACTATGAAATGAGAGTGAATTTTTAATGTGCTTTTGGAGTAAAGCTGCATCAAATCCTTATCTGTGTTAAAAAGCAAGGGACTGGAGGAGTGTTTTAGAAGAACAAAGTAGACAGTACTAGATATTTGCTAAATAGAGGTATTCAGCATGGCCAGATGTTCAGGTACAATCAGTATGATCAAATGCTATATTTACAGGAGCTGAGGATCAGGCCCCAAGTAACAGCAATACTGAATCCATGCCTTAAGCAGGGCAAATGGTGCACCACCTACTGCAGTTGGTCTGAAACAGCATTGTTGCCCACTTGTAAAAAGATGCTATAGCATATTTCACAGGAATAAGAGACCTTACCCTGGCTTTGCAGCTGAATTTGTACATAGCTGATCTTTCTACCTTAAACTGACCCTGCAGCATTGACTGGAAAAAATGCCCCACCTATATACTTTTGTATTTATTCAAATCCAAGACAATTTCCCCACCCCAGCACTGGGGAAGCATAAGCCTTGTCTTGGATTTAGGTACTGGCCTAGATCAGGTGGATTCTGTGGCTCCAGCAGTGGCCCTGACCTGGGGAGACGATGCAGTGTGGCCCAGGGAGCATAGGGGAGATTGCATGGTGTGGCCTGGATGGAGCCTGGGGGAAATTGTGCAGCAGCAGGGGAGCTGCCTTGGCTTCAGCTCTGCTCCTTACCTGGGCCTGGGGCTGGAGCTGTTGCTGCCACTTTTGCCTGGTACAGGGTCAGAGCCACTGTGTGCTCCCTGCCCTGGATCAGAGCTGGAACCAGAGCTGCTGCATAGGGTAAGTGGTGGCAAAGGCTACAGCGGGGTAGGGGACAAGTTGCCAGGGTGGGCAAGGCACATTGAGAAGCAAGTGGCTGTGTGTGTGTGGGGGGGCGGACACTGGGGGAAGCAGGGGCAGG